AAGATCTGTACACTGAAAACCATAAAACATCTATGAAAGAAATTGAAGGAGACACAAATAAATGGAAAGATATGCTCATGGATCAGAAGAATTATTAATAATAATGTTAAAATGTCCATACAATCCAAAACAATACATGGATTCAATGCGATCCCTATCAAAATCCCAATGGCATTTTTCACAGAAAAAAAAATCCTAAAATTGTATAGAACCATATAAAAGACCCCAAAGAGCCAAAACAATTCTGAGAAAGAAAAAGTTGGAGGCATCATACTTCCTAATTTAAAATTACATTACAAGGCTATAGTGATCAAAGTAGTATGCTACTGGCATTAAAACAGACATGCAGACCAGCAGAATAGAATAAAGAGCCCAGAAATACATCCAAACACATATGGTCAACTACTTTTTGACAAGGGCATCAAGAGGACATAATGGGCAGAGGACAGTCTCTTCAACAAATGGTGCTGAGAAAACTAGATTTCTGCATGCAAAAGAATGAAATTGGTATCAAGTTCTGAAATATAACAAATATTGCTGATAGGCTAGAGAAAAAATAAATTATACCTTTCCAAGCACCGTCAGCTGCTGAACTAAAAGATGAGCACTTTCAGTCTTCCCAGCACCACTCTCTCCAGAAATAACAATGCACTGCACAGGGAAAAGGAAACCGTGAGAAAACTTTATCCTCACAGAATTCAGCTGACACATGAGAAACTAAGAGGGAAATTTCTAAGCATGTGAGACTGTTCTTACCTGATCCGAATTGTATGTTATCATAGACTGATATCCTAAGTCAGCCATTGCAAAAATATGAGGAGGATTGGCAGTTCTCTTTGCTCCAATGTATAGTTTGGAATGCTAAAGGTTAAAGAGAATATATTTTGTAGGGCTTTTCATTTTTGTTTTTATTTAAACCCTGGATTATTTACAGATACAGCTGCAATTTTTAAAGCAAAGCATAAATAAAAATACCATTTCATACCACCAAAGCATTACTGCACAAATCATTCACGATTATGTAAAAGAAAAGCTTGACATGAAACAGCCCAGAAATATGATATGACATAAAATGATATTTAACATCCCTCTGGAGGTCGTATTTAAAAGATTCTGCATACCATTTCCAAAGCAGAACTTAAAGTTTCAAAATACTACATTTATTTAAATAAAAGGACACTTCATAAATAAGACAATCATGTATCATTTTTGTTGA